GTATGATGAATGCTTTCAATATGTTCATGAACGCTGACCACAGGCAATGTCCTTGATGAGATGGAAGTTTATCAACAGTCACTGAGCGCATCCACTGATGTTAGCGGGTAGGGGAGGGGGGGAGCAGTTCTTCTCTGCCCTTTCGCCATAACATCCAGGGGAGATTAGATAAAGGCGGTAGGTCGAATCCAGAATAACACTCATTGTTTTGAGAGCAGGCTGCACAGGAATTTCCTTCAGCCTTGAGTCTGTTCTTGCTGGCTCTTTCGTTGTGAGACTAATATTCCAAATGTGTTGGGCTTTTCCGCCTTGAAGCGAGCGTGCCCATCTAAGATATTATCCCATCTCACCTTTGAGTTCAACCACCGCAGCCAGCCTGCGTTCAATCGCACCCAGTATGCGGGTCATATCCTGGTCCCGCTCGTTCACAGCCTTTGTGAGCGTGTCAGCCGCTGCCAGCAGCCTAATCAATGCCCAAATTTCTGCCGACATCCTCTGTAAAAAAAACATTTATATAACATAAGAAATATGCTGGTGAAGATTCTCACTCATCACGGTCATAGTCATTCTAAAAAAAAAAGAACAAAGAAAATTAAAAACAATCCACTGGAGTTTGTTTCCAAATTTGAGGACATTTGGAAGAACAGGTCCACCTCTGCTCTCCTGTGCAGGGGCTGGGTCTGTGCGGGAGAGGACCCCGCCTATTCAGCCAGGCCAACAATCCTTTAAGAGGTGGACCCGTTCATCCATTCCAATATGCATGTTTTCAAAACTAGAACAAGGCTTTGTTGAGCTACTGTATAAAACCTTGAACTCAACGCTATTTCTGACATTTTGAATTGAAAAAGCTTCTTGGATGGAAGAGAAACGTCTTCAAACTTGGAAATAAAGTCCAGTGGATTGTTTTTAATTTTCTTTTTCTGGATGACTGAGAACCTGGAAACTGAGAACTTGGAAACAGTCATTTATTGTTAAAACAGATAAACCCTATTCAAATTGTGCGNTTAACTACAATTTACGTTGCAATCGAAATTTCAGTTTCAGTTCAAACCGTTCACCATACTACATTACATACATTGGGCTGAGAGGGGGAACGGATTTACTGAGGCCATGCGTGCAGCAGAACGCTGCTAGTAGTGATTCTTATGGCTTGCCAGCTTCCCACAGGTTACCTGGCTTCCCAGGTGGCAGGCAGTTACCTATGGCGCTGCCTTTATCTCTGTGGAAAGATAGGAGCCACATTGGGGAAGAGAGGGAGAAAAAAGCATATTTCACACTTTATGCTTGACAGGATATTGCTTAAGATATCAAAAAAACCTCAGCCCAAGAAAAGTACATAAAAACACAAGACATTTCAGCAGAGTCACATCAGAGGTGGAGTCACATGAAGTCAATCTGACATTTGAGACATTATTTGTGTGTGTTTGATGAATGCTTTCAATATGTTCATGAACGCTGACCACAGGCAATGTCCTTGATGAGATGGAAGTTTATCAACAGTCACTGAGCGCATCCAC